ATAAAACCTCTGTGAGAATATGTTTTTGCACTTGTAACCCTATTATAACTTTTACGATAACCAGCGATTTGATGCAACTCACCCTAAGTAACACACAAACAACAGAATGTATGTATTTAAAAATTATAACAAAACAAAAAAAATCAATCAAAAAATTTCATAAATGGTACATGTCAGAGGTTCTCAAACGTTTTCCTCATAAACCCCCTTTTAATGTTACACTCAATTTGGTACATTTTTTTAATATTGTGAACCCTCAATATTCTCGCCATCTTAAAACTTATACGGGATTTCTGTGGACCCCAGGAGTCCACAGACTTCAAGAATCACTAGTGTATAATCAAGTGATAAGTTTATTTTAAAGATTATGGAACACACAGTTAAAAAATACGGTTTTAGGAACATAAACAAGTTGTGTAACTTACTTCAATTTTATGAATCCTCGCATCACCCCAGTACAATTTGTTGTTAACAGTGTCTATAGCGATACCATTGGGCCAGGTCAACTTCTCCGAGACCAGCAGCACGCGGCCCGTGCCGTCGAGATTAGCTCGCTCTATCTTAGGTTTCTTTTCGTTCCAATCAGACCAGAACATCAAACCGGCTTCTGGATGTAACGCTATCGCTCGAGGGTCCAATAGGTCTTCATGAATTATTACCTGTAGCAATTTAAAATACTTGAAGTCCGAAGTTATCTCTCGAGTGTTTGAGCCAAACCCAATCTTTAAACTACCTTACAAGAGTATTTGTACTATTTTAAAACACATATGTAAATCTTAAATTACATAATTGTATTGCATAGAATTAATTTATTATTCAAGCCACCCTTAATTTTTCATCATTCCCAGTCCACCCTTTTGTTAATTAGAAGTTACTCTGTCTTTGTGAATACATACCCTAAAATGATATAAGATGGTGTAATAAACAAAACTTACTTTTTTAAAATCGAAGTTAAGCCTGGCAACATTGATGGTGTCAGTGGCAGGATCCGTCCAGTAGATGTTGCGTGCGAGTTGGTCGATGGCGATGCTGTCGGGCACGCCGTAGCTGTGTATCACCACGGACTGCTCGCTGCCGTCCAGCCGCGCCCGGGATATCGTCTTTGACTTAAACAAAATGTTTCTTAATTCTTACAAATTAATAGCTTTAAGTAATCAGGGAAGTCAAATAACATGTTAAATACCACCGTCTTGGCCTGTCCACTTTAATACTTAAAAGTCGTAGTACGTAATACATTGAATAGTTTATATGACGTCTGAATATAGTTAAAAAAACTATCACAAGCATAAAAGCAATGTAAAGAAAACAAATATAAACAACCCTTGGAAAATACAGATAATGTTTTTTTTTTTAATTTAACATTTAAAATAATCAAAATTTAAACAACTTACCAAACTATCAGCCCAATACATATATTCTGTTTTTGTATCAAAGTCAACACTAAGTGCTCTTTTGAGATCTTTAACTGGGACTGTGTATGGTGTGAAATCTGGTGAATCTAATGATATCTTGGAGATTATAGTCCGCTGAGCTACCAGCAGTATTGACTGTGGAGAGCTGTAACAAGTTGTATTGCTATCCTCTTTTAACTTCACGCCTGTTGGACATGCGCACACATAACCTGTGAAGTTAATGAAAAAAAATATTACAGTATATTCATTGTACACACTACATTTCAGATTTTTAAACAACACCAAATTTGCAGTTTACTATTTTCATATGAATGCGCCATTCAAAATTATATACCTATAATGGTCCAATTGCTTCACCTGGGAACTTAGAAAAGATTCAGCAGCTAAGTTTTACAATAAAAATAAAAGTTGAGGGTTGCAATAATAAAAAACAGCAAATTTTATCAACCCCCTAAATTTTGTTAAATGGGTCTATGAGAAAAAGTTTGGGAATCTCTGATTTATGGTATCTTTACTTACAACTAAATATTATTCTGTATATTATTGTATTACCTGGTGGAGTAGGAGAAAGAAGACATAGGTGGGAACAACCGCCATTGTTGTATTTACAAGGGTAATCTCCTGTAGGCATTAATTGTCTGCTGCCATCAAACACTTTGATGTCAACAGGCACTGGGTTAGATTTTATGACATCCTTTATAGGACCATTTGTGGCTATATCCCAGTTGTAGATTGTCCTAGATTTATAAAACATCTTAGTTACATATATGAGTAATTGCAATTTTAATAAATAACAATAAATATTGCTTACCAAGTTTTCCAATCAGTCCAATAAAGTTTGTCATTAAAAAATGTAAGTGCATATGGATATTCTAAACCACCTTTGATTATTCTCTTTCTTTTCCCACCATCGAAATCAATAGCATCTAAAAACTGTAGTTTTGCATCAGCCCAGTAGATGATATCACTATCATAATCAATAGTGATACCGTTAGGCCAGAATATATCATCTTTGACAATAACTTTCCGAGATGATTGATTACCATCCATACCAGCCCTCTCTATTTTAGGTATCTCACCCCAGTCTGTCCAAAACATTAATCTAAAACAAATATATTGTCCAAAATAAATGTAAGAATTAAAATGTTAAAGTTTGAGGACATATAAAAGTAGTTTAAGATTTTTTTTTAATTTAGCAGCAAAACTCTAAAAATACAATTACATACCCATCTTTTGGAACAACTGCAATAGCTCTTGCTAAATCAACTTCAGACCAAAATAATACTTTTCTAAATTTTTGATCAATACTAATAACTTCAATTCTATTAGTTTCACCATCTGTCCAATATATTTTGTCAGTGTACCAGTCTATAGCGATCCCTGTTGGGGTTATCAAACCTTCTGAAACTATTCTTTCCTGAAAAAATATATTAAATACATATAGTTGGACATGTATATTAAACTTCAAACTTGTAAGAAATGTTCCTAAAGTACTTATAACTTAATGAAAATGTAAATCAAATATTTAGTGAAACAATAACTTACTTTTTCACCAGAATATGTTTCATTGTAAGTCATACATTGTATTAATTCTGCAGTTTGATCTGAACAGCAAATTAACTCCTTTGTAAACAAAAAGTCAACAGCAGATCCTTGCTCCAATCCTTTAATTATAGGGTTAACTTTACCCGCTTTCGACACGTTTAAAAGTCTTATATCTGATGCAGTCGAATATAATAAAACAGGATTGTTAGTTACTGCATAGTAACCTGAAATAGTTTTAGAAGTAAATTAACATATTCTCAGTTAATGTGCTCTAAAATGATACATATACTCGCTATAAGGTACCTTTTAATTGTAAAAACATTAACAAACAAAACACTTGGGCTATATTTTGTACAATTTTATCAGCTTGAACGATCCTTCGGCGCTTTGTCATAATGAAAACAAATGGAATTCGTAAAGGAAGTTTTGCATTAGATTGTTATTTAATGATTGCACTGGTATAAAGGCACTGTAAGAAACATCTTTTAAAAACTATCTATTGATTTCCTCTCATTATTAAAATTAAATTTCTGTTTTCTTCCATTTATTTTTCCAAGAAATAAACGAATTTTGACTTTTTGACTATTTCGAGATCAACATAGAGTGAAGATAAACAAACTTTATGTAGACTAAATAACTCCTCAAACATAGACAACAGAGTTGGTTACATTAAGTTAAGCAGTTTATTATCTGCATTTAGAGTTATTTTTCAACGTTGTTTTCTTTCTTTGCTCTTTGACGTTAACGGTTTGACATTTGTTTGTTGACGTAAAACAGATGACGTTTTGATCTTTTTTAAATAACAAATTCAGAAAAGTTTTTAAATAATTCTCGATAAAATATGTTAAAACTGTATTCAGTATCATACATCAATTATTTCTACTCATATTAATACCATGGAATTTTTATCAACACTGTGGACTTCGTTATTATATCTTATAGGAGCGGGCGTCTGTCTTTTGATTTTGGTAAGAAAATAAGTTGTGATAATCGTGGCAAAACAGTAAACTTTTTATTCCTTCTCATGCTTATCAACTAATTAAGTTGTTATATAAATCGATTGTTCAGGTACTCATGAAGTACAGAGAATTTTCTATTTCCTACTGAACACAAACTATAGGGAAAAGTTACCGGCATTCCTCATTTCTGATAAGATACGACGTGGCTCACGGAGTTATCAATTAGAAAAATGTAATTGCAAGTTTCTAACGATCTTTAAACAATTTCTTTCCTATTGCAGCTTTCAATTTTCCTCTATGTAACAACCAAACCATATCCAATTGTAAAGAGGTTTAAAGACGAGGAGACATTTTTTGATCCAGTAACTAAAAGCAGAATAAAACTGCCAAGCATTAATGAGTCTTCCACTTTAAATCTCTCTGTTATAGTTCCTGCTTACAATGAAGAAGAGAGATGTAAGTATTCGAATATGAGAAAACAAGAATTCACTTTTAAAAATACAAAAAAGACATGTAATCCAGTATGTTTTATTTTACAGTACCGCCAATGCTTGATGAAACATTGGAGTTCTTAGAGAATAGAATAAAACAGCATTCCTCATATAAATATGAAATTATCATTGTCAGTGATGGAAGTAAAGACAAAACAGTACAAGTTGCACAAACTTATGCAGAGAAATATGGCAGTGAAAAATTAAGATGCCTTGAACTTGTTGAGAACAGAGGGAAAGGTGGTGCTGTACGGTTGGTATGTGTTACTAAAATATAATTGAACTGCTTTTTTGAGCCAATGATCATATGAAAATGTCCATTAGAAGTAAGAGTTATTTATATTTAAAGATACAATACAGAGAAGTGGCTACAATGGTAGAGGAAGAGTGAAGAAAGTATGAATTAATTGTGTGAAAGAGGAAATGCTTAAGCAGGGAATGAATACAGATATCATGTCTGAGGTAGATGTATGGAAGTATAGACAAACACTTACTATACCAATGTAAGGACAAGGGCAGGTTTATAATGACAGAAAATAGTACAGCATATTTTAATTACACCCTTCTATGTTGCACATGATATCCTAGTTTATTTTTTTATATCAACTTCTACAGACTCTTGGTCTGTACTCCTTTTTGCACAGTTTGTTTCTCTTTTATCCTAGTTTATTAAAAGGCTAAGGTATTCATATCCTTCAAGCACAATTTATAATCATCCTCATATTAATAATATACATGTGAAAGTTTAGATGGATAATTGGATGTTTGTTAGAGTTTGTAGCCTAAACAACTGAACAAATTTTAATGAAATTTGGTGTAGATGTAGACAATAGTCTAGAAGAACAAATTGACTAATCATTTTTTTTAAATTCCATGCATAAGTCGCCGGGGAACGCTAGTTTATAAAATTGATTACCTTTTGTTCCACAGGGTATACAAAATGCCAGAGGTGCCACCATATTATTTGCTGATGCAGATGGTGCATCTAAATTTGAAGATTTAGTTAAATTGGAATCAGCATTAAAGGATATCATTCAATGTGATCCAATCACAGACCCTGAACATGTTAGTGCGAAAGTTGGTTTAGCTATTGGGTCTAGGGCTCATCTTGAAAAGGAATCTTTAGCAACAAGAAGTCTTTTTAGGTAATTCTTTAAGTTTGAAGATCTCAAGTGTTAAAATTAAATGATCAATAACTTGCTTTTGCCCTTGTCTTTGTTTGCAAGGAATAAAAAAATTGAAATTGTTCCAGGAATTTTGGTATTCTTTAAATACAAACATGCAAGCTTTTCCTCCTTTTTATATTAATAAACATTAAATATATTTCAGGAATATTCTGATGTACGGTTTCCACTTCCTGGTGTGGTTGTTTACTGTAAAAGGTATTAAAGATACACAATGTGGCTTTAAATTGTTCACAAGGAAAGCTGCAGATATATGCTTCCAAAGTCTTCATGTGAACCGATGGTAATTATCTTGCACTGCTATTCTAATTATAAATTTTAAACCATATTTGATGTTAGAATAGTCTTTTTGCCTTCTAGCTGCAGTTTGACTGTACAATTAAAGTGTGTTGGCAAAATTTGAACTGTCGGTCAAACTATATAGTTTAAAATTTTGCATACATGTCTGTTTCACTGTACAGTTCGACTGTTTACTAAAAACTAGAGATGTTTTTTAGGTTAGTTGAAATTACATTTGCATGTCTGTAATAGTTTGAAATCTTTTTTTATAGGGCGTTTGACGTAGAATTATTGTATATCGCACAAAAATTAAACATTCCAATAGCTGAGATACCAATAAGATGGACGGAAATAGAGGGGTCTAAAGTGACTCCAATAATATCTTGGATACAAATGGGATGTGACCTTGGTCTCATCTGGTTGAAATACACAATCGGAGCGTGGAAGATAAAAAGTGATAAAATAGACTAAGTTGAACTATTATTTGCATTTATATACAAGTTATAGATATTTATTTTTCAATTATATTTCATCTTTGAACAGCTTTTATTCAATATCAAATGAATGTAAATAAATAAAACTCAATTTATATAGATATATCTTTTATTTTAATCTTACAATAGTGTGCCTTTTACAAAATTATGTAATTTAAAAGATCTCTTATAATAATGAAATACAAAATATTATTCAAGATTCAAAAATAAGATCACGCTAGTTGACAGAGTTCAAATGTTATTGAGTCTAATGAAATTTTAAGCTCTTTTTGAGCATTTTGACAATATTTGAGTGTATTTTAAAAATTTGGCAATAACTTGAGACTCAATTTTACACAGTTTTAGGCCTAAATAGGAATATAAACTATTCTCAATGTTATTTGTTTCCTTTCAATATACATTCTCAACTATTTTCCATAAATAAGTAAAAATAAATTTAAGATGTATGCATGAAATGTTTATAAAATAATAAACACAATAATCGATGGGTAATTATATGTAACACATAATATGTACCTTCAAATTTGTTTATAATAACAATATCATTGTACAAAATTAACATGCTCAGTCTATAAGTTATAATTCACAAAATATTACAACAACAGCCACGAGATGTTGCATGTTAAGTTTCTAGTATTTAATAGAAGCAATAGATTTTTAATTCAAAAGAAAATTAATGTATTTAAAACAGAGAGAAGTTAGCACATGGCCAATGTCGCTTTTTCAAATTTCAATACAATTTAATTCTTAAATACAACAATTAAAAAATGTATTTTGATTTACTTATATCTTAAAAGGATATTTGAAGCGATAGTTACTACCATCTACATAATGCAAAAAGATGAGTTTTAAAATTTAAATGAAGGAAAAGTATTTATTTATATAACCCAAACCTTTATGAAGAATATTTGACCATGGCAACATCGATGTACGGCTTACGGCCAACACTGGACGGAAGAGAAATCAACCTGTTAGACTGATATTGTAAAAGTATTTCAAACATTCTTAAATTCGATAAATTCGAATTTTGCATTTAATTTAATTACAACATAAGTAAGATATATTCTTTAGTTAGAAATGGAATGATTGAAAATATTACAAAATGGCGGTATTTTCCATATTCTTAGTTTCGGACAAAATTCTCAATAAAAATCAAAAGAAAGAAAGGTAAATGGTATATAATATCAATCTCTTTTTTTAGAACCACAAATAAGGCTATAAGTATATTATACAACCTCAATTCACATTGGCATTTACTATTTCACATGTTTAAAAACAAATTAAAAAAAAAACTGTTCGGAATTCAAAGAATAATTCAATTGAATCCAAAGATTTGTTTCGACATTATGTAATTTGCATTTTTTTATATACAAGCTAGCACATATAAAACATATCCTTAATAAAATTACATTTACAGAAATCTTTTTGATCATTTTATTCTTTTTTGCCTTAGAAACTATCATATAAGAAATTTGTATATAAAGTAATATACAGTAACTGCATAACAATAAAAAGTTATAGACTATCATTAAAACAATATCAAGATTAACAGAACATCACATAAAGCATTATAATAAAAATATTTCATTACATGAAAGTTTTTTTTTTCTTAATTTCACATCAATCTTAAAGCCAACATCAATTTAAACAACATTTGCGCATATACACTATATAAGTATGAACTTTAGTTCTTAAGCGAAGGCATTAAAGAAGCCATTTTTTCAAAAACATCAAAGCAATTATACCTTTAGACCAAACACCATTTTGAGGAATTGTTCATAGTGGATAGTTATAACTCCATCTTGATCTGTGTCAAACTGACGGAATGCAGATGTAAGAGTCTGAAAAATAAAATAAATAATACCTATTTTCACTTGAATAAACATATAACAACAATTATTTAAAAAAAAAAAACATACAAGAGAAGAGGATAAACAAACTACTTAAATGTTAACTAAGTACAATAAATGTAAAGAATATATTTGTGGAATATTTTTTTCATCTAGATTTTTTGGTGAAACTGGAAGTGGGAATTATAATTAGCCATATATGGCTACCACAATTATTATCTGTTCTTCGATTAACCAGTTTAATAGTACATTAAAAATTTGAACTGCTATGAAGATCTATTTGATTGACTCATATCTTATTAGCACTTTATTTACATTGAAGACTTGTTATTTGTAATATAAGTAAACCTTTAAAAGTAAAATTAAAACTCTTACTAAAATCTGTTCACTAATACAATACTTACATATAGTGTGACACAGCATTGTATGAAGTCGTCAAATAAAATAGTGCCTCGCCCAAATCTATCAAACTTATGTACCATTATAGTTACAACTTCATCAGATAATCTGTATCCGAACGCAGTGAGCGCATTCTTTAGCTCTTGCTTATCTATATTACCAGAATTATCTCTGTCAAATGAACGGAAACAGTTCTGCCAATCCGTGACATATTTCCATAACGCTCCAAAATCCTCAAATGATATAACTCCTCTGTTTTGCTTGTCAAACATACCTATGGACACAAATTTTATATATTTACTTCTATTTAAACTATGTATTGAAGTTATTTACAAATTAAATCAAATAATTAGCATATATTCCGGGTGAACTGGCACTTATTGAGGTATTGTGCACTATCCTTCGGCCGTGTCTTCACTTAACTTAGGTTGAATTGTGGGACTTGACCACAGGTTGGTTTATTTATGTTAAAAAAAAGTATACAATGATAGCTAGAATAGAATTGCTGACTATAAATAGCATTAACACATTTCATATGAATATCAAGTTGGAGATAAATGTGTTTATAACAAAGAAAACTAACCAATCATAAGGCGGACTGTTTCTGGGTTGAATGGATTCCATGTGCCATTAGACAATGCTTGTTGTAATTCATCAGCGGATATGTAACCACTGCGGTCCTTATCAACTCTGTTGAATTAAATTTTTATTTAATCACAATTAATTAAATAACAATCAATTTTACTGACTTCATTCCTACTACACTTAAGGAAAGAATATGAACCGAATGAAATTTCACTTATCAAAATAATTTCAAACTACACTTGTAATGGAATTTAATTACATACAAAACACATATCCATAATATCTATATTACTAATTACTAATATTATAAATGCGAAAGTTTAGATGGATGGATGGATGTTTGTTTGTAGCATAAACTGCTGTACAGATCTCAATGAAATTTGACATAGACATAGAGGATAGTCTGGCAAAACACATAGGCTAATAACTTCTGTTTTTTTGAACTCCGCACGAATCGTGTGCGAAAGCTAGTATCTATATAAATGCAAAAAAAACACAATCTTATCTAAATATAATAAATATAAATACTAACTAATACCATCATAAAGTACAACATTTTTATACCTTGATAATTGGGTGAACTAATCCAGTAAAAAAATAACTTGCATAACATTGAACTTAACATTGAACATATTCAATAAGCCAATTCCAGTATTCATATAATACAAAAATGTATTAAGTGAAAACAAAAATCATTTAGTAAAAAACAAGAAACTTGTCCTCATTTCCAAGTTCTAAGTGTACTTAGAATTAAAATACAAGGACAACTGGCAAGCAAAATGAAGGCATAATTGTTAAATTATGTTTATTTAACAATTATGCCTTCTATAATTTTTTAAGACAAATCTTAGAAGTTCTTTTGTAATATAGTAACTAATAATCATTCAATTTTATTACCTTCTAAATATATCCCACAAGAACTCTCTGCTTGGCATAGGTGATTGGAAAGACATTATGGCCTGCAAATTTATGAAACTAGTTACAAAATGGAATTATACATGTATTTTTTTTGACAAAATTGAGTGTTAATCATTGCAAAAATGATGTCATCAATCAATTTTTTCTTTAATTCGAGTTATTCAGTATGTAATGATACATTTTATCTAAATGATATTGTTATGAGTCACTCAGTACACCTAACTAGCAGTCATTAAATTATTGCACAAACAAGAAATATTGATGGAAAATATAAAACTGCATCACTTTCATCAAAAATCATAACAAGAACTCTTTTGAAATAATTGCAATTCTTATGAAATATGTAGAAATTTCACTTACAGCACTTGTAAACAACTATAAACGTTAGTAAACTCTGATATCAAGTACCACCAATGTATAATTATGAAGCAACGCGAGTGCAAACTTTGGTATTTTAAATAGTTATGAAAGTAGCAACTGCAATAAAAATGCAGTCAGACGAAAGCACTAATCCTGTGGTATAATTTCCTTTTTTCCTTAAAATAAAATGTATCCCGATGACAATTAATGTGACACTAACATCTGACACGTTTCGTCGTGTGACCAAAGACTAGACTTAACAGATTATACAAATTGAATAACGAAATGCTTTAAAATGAAGTAAATCCTTCTATTATTATCTGCATTCCGTGCTCCGCTCTTCTATCCAAGGACAAGAACAAAACTTTGAGTTGCTTTGATATTAAAATGGCCGATGTCTCAAGCAACGATCGGAAAACAAAGCTTGTAAAGCTTAATAAAAACGGTAAAGTTGTAAAAAGGCGTTCACGGAATCCAGAAGGTAATATATGGTTCTATTAAATCACAGTTTGTGTCTTATGGATTTAATTATGTTTCGCTTCGAAACGATGTTTTCTTATTGTTTAGTTCACAATGTTATGTATAATATTTGACTCTTACTACTTTTTTGATATGAAATTGCTATTTCGATGTTATGATGATATGATAATAATACAGAAATTCCGGCAGTTATAACTCTATACAAAAGTGAACTTTACAAACGCTGATAAACACGAAACCTACTTATTAAAAGTACGTTATGCATAAATATGTATTTTATTTTGAAAGTAATGGAGGGAATACAAATTACGGCACATAACGGTCACAGTGTTCACCTAATCCATTTATTAATAAATTCCCTTGTAAATTCCAGAATGGCACAAACAAAAACAGAAACGTTTAAGGATTGCTGGCTTAGAATACATAAATGCAAACGGAAAAGTTGTACCGCCCAAGAAACCTGGACCTGATTGTAATTGTCGGCGAAAATGCTATCAAAGGGTCCCTGAAGATGTTCGAATGAAAACATTCCAAGGTTTCTATTCTATGAAAACTCATGATGAACAAAATGCTTACTTATTTGGCCTTATGAGGCAAGTAGATGTTAAAAGAAAAAGAGTTAAAACAAGCAGCCGGCGGACTTGTACATTTGAGTACTTTGTTAGAGTGAAGGGAAGGGAAACACAAGTTTGTCAAACAGCTTTTAAAAATATACATGCAATAACTGAGAGAAAAGTAAGAGTGCTTTGTAAAAAAATGGATGATGGTGTTATGTTCCCTAGTGATAATAGGGGGAAAAACAGTCATCGGAGATCTGGGGAAGTGAGGCTTCCAAATGGTGTAGTTGAGCAAATCAAGAATCATATATATTCTGTTGTCCATACCCACAGACTAAAAGATTTTATTAGATTGGATAAGATTGCTGGTTTAGAAATCAATATATCTAAAATGTGGAAAGATTATATTAAAACTTTTGATCCAGATAATATAACGGCCACTATGCCAAAATCTAAGAGAAATGTGGAAATTGCCTTACCAATTGACAAACCACCAGTTCTCCATCAGCCAGAGACCTTTGCTAATATCGCTCCATATCCAGGCAGCGGTCATCTTGTTAACATAGCTGAGAATTACTTTCAGAACCAGTATCAGACAACAGCTTTAGCAACAACAGCAACACAGGCTAATTTTTATCAACCACAAAATAACACTCATGGCATGGGCATCATTGTCCAATCAACCAGCTTAGCAAGACCTGTGCAACCAACTGCCTTTATTGTTGTCCAAACAAAAAGCGAACCCCAGCCTGAGACTATTATAAGTGACATATCATACAATCAAAATGCAGATATCACTCAAGAGGTGGTGAAGCCAGAAAAGAAAGTTAAAAAAGAAAGAAAAAAAGGTCCCCTGGTGAAACAATGGAGATATTCCAATATATTTCATGATGAAATTAATGGTGCAGCGCTTGCTGCAATAAAGACTAGGCTTGGGATGTATTATGCTGAGAGTGATGCAGCAAGGAAGAAAGCCAAGCAGGCTCAGCCTGACATGGTGCAAAATAATCAAATGCCACAAGAACAAGTGCGGCCCACGCACACACTCACTTTGTACACATGAGACAGATCTTACTTGATGTTTAAATTTAAACTTCTGCCTTCAATCATGCTAAGATTAGAATTATGGTAAAATTTTACATTTACTATAAACATTTATAATCTTAGTGTATAGTCATTATTTTACAAATGTAGTTTTTTAAGTTATTTAAACCCATACATCATTATGTAAGAGTTATACAAGTGTTTTATATTATTTTTTAGCTTATTGCAGCATATAAATAGTTCTTGTTTAAAATTAACAGATTTTCATACCTTATGTTATTGTATGATCATCAATATGGCACTTTGGAATTCAGATTTCATATCCTTTAATTAGTTTGATAAATATAAAATTGTGGAAATTATGCCCATGAAGTAACTTAGAACATTCTTCAACAATTTCAAGTTGAAAAAAAGATATTCAATGAGTAAAAAGCTAGAAATCTTTCAACATTTTTTTTATGTGCAAAGGAAACTCATTCTGTGATTATTAATCAATTTTCTCTTATGTTAATAGATCTAATATTATGAGCTATTAATAAGGCAAAAACAAAAATTGTTGGTAAAATTCATTGTCATAGGGCAAAAAATATTTTTTTCTTAAGATTTAATATTGTATAAGTCTGAAGCTGTGCTTTCAGTAATGTTTTATCACTTTACAACTATTCCTTAATACAAATCAAATTTTAAGAAAATAAATTGTATCTTTGACATTACTAATGCAATAATGACAAATTATAGTAATGAATTGGTGTAAGAATGTGCTTTATATTAAAGTCATTTTAAGATTATATTAATGACATTTATTTTAAAAATATTGTTTTATTTCAATAAAGCCTTCACATAAGTGCAAAATTCGCGCATTCATGTAAAACTACCCTCTACTTTTATTAACCATGACTAGGTATATTTTAGGCAAATAGTAAAAGAAAAACCATAAGTTTTATATTTTTTTATTGTAAACTTAAGTTACGCTGACAATACACACACTCCACCGACATCCTTTATCTTCTTCTCAGCTGTCTTTGAGAAGAATTTAGCCTTGACAATGACTGGCTGTTTGGGAAGTTTGCCTTTGCCTAGGAGTTTGTAGTAACCCTGAAACAAATAGAATCACTCTGAACATGTCATTCATAAAACTAATGCATTAAAAGAAAATACTGGTTAATTCACTCATAAAATATTGGTGAAAATATTTGTGATTTTTTAATTTGGCTTTAACATGGGTTCAAGTGGATTATTTAGCCATCTTGCCTTAGTCTTTATTATAGACAAAAAGCTAATACAAATGTTACCAATAAAAAATTTCACTAGTAATGAAAATAACTGAATTCCCACAAATATAAGGCTTACATACTAGCAACTTTGTCACAAAGGACTGGGAAATTATTATAAAAATGTGTATCTTATGACAATAGGCTAATTAACTTTGTTACAAATGCACTGAAACTTACAGCCTTGACAATGTTGATGACGGGTACTTTGCCATCAGTAGCATTGGAATATTTAAGTCTGGTCTGCTCTGACACTAGTGTCCACAGCTTGTCCAAGTTCAACACGGGGCAAAATTCCTTGTTCCGCCTCAAGTGGTAGTTTCTCATACCAAGCTGGAATTATAAGACAATAGTAATATTAAATAAACTTTAAGGCTGTAAAAATGCAAAATATATGACACTTAACTGTGAATATTATTCTTAGATTACTAGTTTTTCTTTATGTACAAGTATAAATACATTGATAAACAATTAATTTATTACTTATGGGGGGCTATCGTCGCTTCGCGATAAAGCCCCCCGTAATAATAAATAAAAAAAAAACAATTATTTTTGACTAAATATTGTATACCATATTGAACGAAATCATAAATTACTTAAAAGAATGTTCAATTTTCAAATACATATGATAATTGATGTTTGTAAATCAAACCTACCTTTCCAAAGTACCCAGGATGGTACTTGTCCATGTTAATTCTGTGGTGATGTTCACCACCGGCATTACCACGACCTCCTGGATGCTTACGGTGTTTACCTGGAATTTTAGTGAATAGAATTAAACTTGTGAACAAGTGGTTAAACAAAATTCTAGGTTATCACTCAGTTATGTTTATTTATACGTCGCGTTTGAAGTAATACTTACCAATACGACCGTGTCCATGGCTCACATGTCCTCTCAGCTTCCTAGTCTTCTTCTTAGATGTGGCCTGTAGAATAACACAAAATATTATCAAACTAACTTATTTGGCACAATTCTACAAATATGGATTTCTTCGAATAGTTTCTCACTTATAGCACATAATTAAACTCTAACTAGTAACATTAATTATATGATTATTCAAGTATAAACAGATATTTTCAAAAATTCTAACACCAACCATATTTTCGGCTTCCGTCAAGACTTTGCAAAAGAAAGAGAAAGATACCCTTTGGATGTCACTGTCAAATTGAAGTTGAACTTTGAGTGTTGCTGGCTACAAAAAACTTATGGTTGGTAGTTTCTAGCCCAACGATGCCTGTTTCTTCCTAGAATCAACTTGTCCATAAAAGTAGCTTTAAATCAATAACCAAGAAATTGCCAATTATAGTTATCTTATATCGATCTTATAGAAGTACAAATAGTTATTTATCAGGAAATGTAATAAAGTTAATGGAATTGGTAGTTATTTTAATTTGAAAACTTATTAATAGTCTGTAATCTATGTCACTTCAGGTTTTACTTTTGTTGGGATCAAATATCATTAATCTGTGCTCAGTACGTTTCCAGAAAATGGTCGGATTGTGTGTCGATGTCTGACACGTACTTCGCAAAAAATCGTAAATAATCTCAATAAAGTTTATCATGCTGTTGTGACTGATTTCTAATTATTATTAACACAAAACCGAAACACTAAAAATGGAGTTTCGTGAAACATTATTAGCTGCTCAGCGAAATCAACAACAGAAGTCATCTGTAAGTTTTGCTACACTTATTTCGCGATAATTGTACTGCGTTTTAATTTGCATTAATATAATTCTATGTCCAACATTCTTTGTGTGTAAGCATTATTTGAGGACTCTTTTTTATTATTCCATTACTAAGCAAAGATCTACTATATATATTTGTTGTTGAAAGCACTTTACAGTTGTGGTTTCTAATACATTATGATTGTGTCATTACAGGAAAGTTACTATTACAAAGCACGGTTTGATCCACCCAAAAAGGAACAAAAGGTAAAAGATAAACTTTCAGCAAACATACAAAAGTTTCTGGCTAAAAAAGAAGAGGAGGAGAAACAGAAACAGTTGGAGGCTCAGAGGAAGCGCGAGGAGCTGATTGCTATGCGGGATCCTAAAGCTTTAAGAAAGATTCAAAAGACTTTAAAAGTAATTAAATCCGCCAATAAGTCTGTATTAGAGGATGCTGTTGATAGAAATGACACAGCCGTCACTCGGGATGGGCCTGAGCAACCTGATCAGGATGATTATGGTTATGTGTCTCAGGAGGCGACTGCTCTCTATGAGAAAATGATGGAGAAATACAGTAAAATTCCTGATGAACCAAAATTTTCTACAAAAAGTAAGTCATAACTAAATGTTACTATAGATATACTATCTATTTAGGTTTGATATAACAATCTTATGTCAGATTAGTCATTTTCATTGTTCAACTTTGAAGATGGTATAATAAAAGGGTACATTATTATTTTTTCAGTGCATTCAGTGAGCAAAGATCTCAATGGAACACGGGAAAGAGTCAAGAATGCTTTGCAACATGAAGATGAACCAGTGCCACATAAAAGAAGACGAAGGGGTGATAATGGTGATTAGTACTTCTGAATTGCCTTACAATATTATTACTTGCACTAAAACTCTATATCAATTTACTTTTCACAGTATTTTCCTGTTTCTTCAAAAAACTTCATTTATGAGTTATACAAAATTACCAATGCCTAATATTACCTTCTGATAATACCAAAATAACAATTGTGGCAAGTGTTTTGACCACTGATTTCATTATCTCTCAATTATATTGAGTTATTAAAGGTGATAGTGTATAAAAACATAGCAGACAAGAATTATCATTTAAAAAAAATTGGCATGTTTCTTTAAATGTATATTTAATTACAAAATAAGTACATTTATGTTGTCAGATAAAGAGCTAAGTCCACCTCCAAAATATGAGCCAGAAAGGAGAAAAGATGAGAAATCGGAAAAGCCGAAAATAAGAAAACCGGCCCCACCACCAATGGACTTCAATCAACTACTCAAACTCGCTGAGAAGAAAAAGAGTGAACCTATTGATGTAGTAGCAAAGAAACTGCAAGCTGAGCCAGAACCTGACCGCTTAATGACTAAGAAGCAGAAGAAAGATTACGAAGATGAAATGGCTCGCCGTCAACGTCGACAGGAGCGGATTGATGCGGAAAAGGGATTGTCACGGAAAGGTATTCTGAAATTCTTTGTCTTGAACTTGGTATAGTGTTATACTACTTTTTAACTCGGCTACTGTCCTGGTACTTGGAAAAACCCAGATTTCCTTTGGTTTAAACTTTGATAATGGTACACTAAGTAGAAAGTAGTAATTAAACTCTTGGTAAATTAACTATTTAGTAAAGAATATCTTTTGCCTTTTTACCTATCTACCTATTTTTGCTCTTTCTTGACCCAGTCTAGTAAAATAATGTTGCAATGTTTTTTCGTATTTTGTTTTTTTATGTTATAGAGTCTATAGATCATTGGTATGTAAAAACAATGCAACTGTTTTGTTAAGTACATATTACTGTTTCCCTTGACTTGTAATTCTTATCATCAAAGGATGTCTCCTTGTGTAAGCTTATTTACAAATATTGCCATTTATAATGCAACTATCTTAGATTGCAAAACTTGTATTTTTTTTCTAACCTATCTATTGGTGCTCTTTTTCAGCCCCAAGAGACGAGAAACCTGTGGAAAGAGAAAAGAAACTGGATTCCAGTGGTATCGGCCGTATACCAAAGCTTGGTGATAAGAACTCTGCAAATCAAAGAAGTGAAAATTCAAAACTTCCTGAGAGAGAGAAAGACCGCGGTCCGAGTGAGAAGGAAAAGGCTGAAAGACTTCAACGAGAGAAAGAAAGAGCTAAACTAGAAAAACATAAGGCTGAAAGAGAAAAAGAGCGACTAGATAGGGAACGGTTAGAAAAATTGAAAGCAGAGAGAGAAAAAATTGACAGGGATATAGAGCGACTTAATAGAGATAGGGATAGATTAGAAAAAACTAAATCCAAACTGGAAGCGAAAAGTTCAACGGAAAAGTTGAGCAAGCCAGTGAATAGTTCAGTAGATAGACCGAAGTTAAATGCTAGAGAGCAACCACTGAAACAAGAAGTGAAGAAAAGTATAGATTTAAAGAGTCAAAACACATATAGGATAGATAAAAATCAAACAGAGAAGAAGATATCGATTCCAAGTAAAAGTGGCGATACGAGACAGAGCAATGGTTACAGCGCGCAAGGAAAACCTGCGCCTAAGATGAATAAAGAGTTACCACAACGGATTGATAGGGATAAACTTTTACAAGCTAAACAGAAAATGCTCAGTAATGTACCAAGCAAAAGTAATGGGCATGTGAGACCCGAGGGTGCCAAACGCTTGCAAGAAACCGGCAGAGAAATGCCAGCTAAAAGGCCAGAAGACAAGAAGGCAGTGCCAAATCCAAAGTCGTCTGCGGGACCGAGCAAGCCCAGTGTCGGGAACAGCTTCGACTTTGACAAGCATGTTAACTCCATTGGTAAGAACGGCGGCCGACAGTTCCCGCCTGGCGACGTGCGGAGAAAACCTCGCCCTGATGATTTGAAGCGGAAGAAACGTAAGTCTTTGCCTTATTTTTAGCTCTTACTGAATATTAATATTGGTTTAATTTTTGGCTAATATGGGCTTATAGTACCAATTTACTAACACCTGAGATTTATTAATCTTAGAATTAATATAAGAGTTATATAATTAAGGCTATTGCCTATGGCGTGTCATAAATGTAGGTCTTTTTATGAATATGATTGCAATAGATGGGAATGATGACAAATGTTTGTTTTTTTCAGGTCGTGCGGTCGACTCGGAGTCAGACTACGATTCAGAAATGGACGATTTTATCGATGACGGAGATGAGAACATAGATTATTCTACGCACATCAAGGAGATATTTGGTTACGACAAATCTAAGTATGTCCATATAAGTTAACTTCACTCTGGATTGTCTTTATATGAGACTTTATATATTTTTTATTTGTGTTTTCTTTCGCACCAGGTATCGATACATGGATGACGACGATGATCCAATGATGGAATCTAGTTTCGCCAGACAACAACGAGAAGAGTACATTAGCAAGAAAATTGGTACGTAACATTATAATAGAACTCGTAAACATTATGAATATGTAATAGATTGTTATGTAATGTAGCAAATATTTGAAAAATAACTAATAATAAATCCGAAATCAAATTAATGAATTATGTGTACAAGCATTGTCTTTGAAAATGTATTTTGTTAGTTAGCTGGTAATACTGTACTACCATAGACAAGGTGTAAAAAATGAGCATTAGTTTATTAAAAGTTGTTTTTTCTTTAATGCAATTAATTGACTATATTGTTCTTTCAGGTATAATGGAGGATTTGGAGGATATGCGTATGGAAGCAATGGAGAAAAAGAAAACTAAGAAGAGACGAATTAGTGACGACTGAAAGTTACGACGTGCACGCACCGGACCAAGATTAAAGTAACTAGCTTTTGTATAACGTACATTGTGAAACTGCCCGCCAGTGGATGGCCGAACCCAAATGTGATTTTATTATATGAATAATAGTTTATTTCATGATTATATATACGCCAATTTAACATCTCAACTGTACAGAAAACTTTGTTAGCTTAAGGGGTACTTTGGTTAAATGTAACGCAACCTTTTATTTACAATAATCGGGGAACTTTTGTACTTTTGTGTTGTAATTATAGCTCTTTTTATAGAAATAATAATGATAGGTTTTTCCTTTCATTGTGTGGTAGTTAACTGTGAGTTAAATACGCAACATGTGTTCACATAAAATAGTAAAAATATTTGATTTTCTATCCACATTTGAGTTATTTTCGAAGCTTGGCAGATTTTGTCCCAAATTTCGTTGTTCTGAAAATAGATAATAAAAATATTAGCAATGAAGTAGACAACCTCTTCTTTAATTAACTATTGGATAACTCAAGGCATGATACTAATGATATCAATGATACGATTAAAACATTTTTTTTCTCTAAATTAAATTCCTTGATAAATGTACTAAGTTTCCGACATATGTATGGGTCTTAATGAATGTAAAAGTATTAGCTATGTCCTACACAACTTTGGTAAAGATGTGAATGAGCTTTATAAGTTTGCATTTTTTTTGCCATTTGGAATATATTTGTGTGCTTCAATATATGTATAAATGTTTGTTATATTGTCCTTGTTAAAATTCTATCAGTTATTAATGGCATGAAAAGAAATAACAAAAAAATGTTATAAAATATACATACCTTTTAAACGCATTTATGACTTTTATTTCTATCGATAGTTATGACTTGAAATAGTCGTTAATTGTACAATAACAACATACTGAATACTTAATTTCCGTAATAAAAGGAAATTACATTTTAGTCGAACATTTGGTTCTTCTAAATCATTTGGTTGAATAAAGCCTTTATTTTATTGTATAACTAGCTTTCGCCCACGACTCCGTCCTTGTGGAATTAAAAAAACGAAATTGAGTAGCCTATGTGTTCTTCCAGACTATCCACCACATGTATACCAAATTTCATCGAAATACGTATAGCCGTCTAGGCTACAAACTCAAACAAACATCCATCTAAACTATCACATTTTTAATATTAGTGTGATTAGTATGAAGTATGATCTACAGGTCTTGGGTTCGAATCCTGCCATGTATCAATAAGATTTTCGAATTTCATATGTACATAATTTACAAAACGTACATAGCGGCAAAAACTTCAAAGATAAGAGTCATGATGATGAAGGCGACTATTGTGTATAAGTTCCACTTTTCTCCACTTTGCAGATGCGTTCATTACGTTGTTCAGAACAAAACGTGACCAGAATAGTTTGTTTTCCAATTATTTTTTGAATTAATTTATCGATATAAAAATTTAAAATATGAGCAAAAAAAAGAATTGATATTGAAAATTGAGTACCATAAAATAAATGGCAACCCTACGTAACGTCAGTCAATATTTCCTAATGTCACAAATGTCAAATGTTTTAATTCAAATTTCAATTCTGTTTTCAAGGACAAGGCTATATTGATAGCGTTCGACTTCTTCGAATTGCAATCCTATTGGAATCTATGAGTGAAAGCCTCGTCTTTGTACAACGGTTTTAATTCCTTTATCACAATAAGATAGTGTTGTAGTGTTTAAAGTTTTAGCATTAAATTGTCACTTAGGTATGTATTCCTGTCATGTGATTTTCATTTTATTGAGTATGTTTTAGTTATTGTAAATTGTTAATTCTATTGTTGCTATAAAATTTGTTTAGCTTTTAGCCATGTCAAGTGAAAATAATGAGACTAACTTATTGAAAAGTATTGACGATATACCCGAGTTAAATAAAGATAATGTCCATATTCCGAACAAGGAGGAATTGTTAAAAAAATTGAACAAGATGATCAAAGATGGGAACAGGATGCTGCAGATCGTTACTGACTTCGATCACACTTTGACCAGGCACACAATGGATAATGGAAAATCGGTATTAACTAGTTTTGGTAAGTAATTCTTATAAACCTAATTGATGCTTACAGATTCATAAATACTCTAAAATATTTTATATCATAGTATTTTAACTATCTTTATGTATTATCCTTTAATATGATTACTTGGTGCTGGTTTGTGGTCTCCAGAAACATTACTATATATTAGTATTTTCTAAGGAGTAAGTTATTTATAATTCCAGGTATGTTCCGGGAATGTCCATCAATTCCTCAGGAATACAAGGATGAGGAGATTAGGCTGGCCTCAATATATAAGCCAATAGAAGTGGACCCTGTTATGAGCATTGAGGAGAAAACAAAGCATATGATTGATTGGTATCAGGCAGCACACAAACTCTTGCAGTAAGTGTACTATGTGCAGAGGTCACTTTCCTATTTTACCAATTTCAAAGTAGCAATTACCCAATAATGGTTACTTGCTACTTTATCTTCTACTGGTTTATAATTTCTTTTTAGGTTTATAGTAGTTGCTAAGACATACATAAACCTTTATGGTTTGAAAATATTTTTTATGACGCATTTGATATTTAATTAATTTACTGTACTTTTATTTTATAAAAGATACTATATATTACACATTGTGTCAATTCGCCATAAGGGATAAAGGAAATAATGATGACTGTACTTTTATTTTATATGGTCAATTTTTTTATTTCATATTGCATAATGTTTTGATTAATTTTCTTTTTCCACACAGTCCCTATTAAATGTATAAATTTTCTTTTCTATGAAATTTTGTTGTTAAATTTGCCTTTTTAAATATATTAATTTCTGTAGCTATAATGTTTGTATTTTTTTAGGGGTATGAAATTTCCCAAGCAGGAGTTAATGGATATTGGGTACAAAATGGTAGAGTGTTTTAGGTAAGTTACAAAGTAAGTAATAAACATTTTCTCATCATTGTCTATTGGCCAACTTGTAATGTGGTAATACAATGCAATATTGTTTCTCTTTGTTGTGATATTACAAAAAAATCTGATAGCATTGTTGAAATTAAGCAACTAGAAAAAAAAATAATGAAATGTCTGGAATAGAAATCTAAGATTTATTGTGTTGTTTAAAGAAGAGTATATGAAATTCAAGTACTATTGCAAATGTTGCAAGGACAAATTTTGGTGGTTTAAACTTTTTATCCAACTGGTGTGTTAAGGACGGGCGTGCAGGACCTGATCCTGTGGAGTGAGCGGCACCAGGTGCCAGTGCTGGTGTTCTCCGCAGGGCTTGGAGAGTCCGTGCTCGCCGCACTCAAGGCCGCGAACTTTCTCCTGCCACATGTCAAGGTAAATAAATGTCTCCTTTCATCTATTTCTGTCCATAAAATTGCACCATATTGTGAAATTAAAACTCTCAAATAAAAACATATGTTTAAAAATCTCTGAAAGTAATATTTATACAAACGTTTTTTGTTGAAATCTGTACTTTTGTTGCGAATCTTTACAAATCATTGACTCATATTCTTATTTGAAACATCGCCAACTGTTTACACAGAGTAAAAATACAATATTAAAAAAAGTTATTGACGAAATTCTTAAATAAATCGGTAGGTGATATCAAATTTCCTGGCAATGGATGAGTCGGACACGATAGTGGGCATCAAGGGGGAGGTGATCCACACGTACAATAAAAACGAGGCGGCCATCAAGGACACGGAGTACTTCTCGCTGGTGCAGACGCGCAGCAACGTGCTGCTGCTCGGCGACAACATCGGCGACGCCGGCATGGCGCAGGGCATGGACCACTGCCACGTCGTGCTCAAGGTCGGCTTCCTCGGCCGCAACGCGCGCGCCAACCTGCACAACTACCTCAACACATTCGACCTCGTGCTCGTCGACGAGCCCACTATGGATGTGCCCAACGCCATACTCAAACTTGTGCTGTGATTTAAGATTTATTTTGATACAAATTTGATATTATTTTACGATTTGAGATTCGCATTGCGAATGAATGATGATATCGAGGTTTTTCGTTGATAGCATAAAAAATATTAAATGTACACTTGGGGAAACTGGCAGTGTTCCACTTTAAAGCTAGTTGTATATACATTTGATACACATTATGATGATAGAGATTTTAAATATGTCTGAAAGAAAAAAACGCGGTGAGTCGTATACGGTTAGTCATTATTTATTCCGCCATTTGTGCAACTCACTATTACCTAAGTGGTTATTTGTCTGATTTTTGCCAAGTTTGACTTTTTGCAAGGAACAAGTTTTTCTGTAAGTGGAATACTGCAGATATCCGCGACTGTACATTGTGAAAGGTTGTTGTAATATTTTGTATGCCAAGTCCTATTTATTCGTGAAACTATTATAGGAGTAATATTAGTCACCAACGATGGTAGAATACAAAAATTTTGAACTTGTAAGTTATAATTTGTTTTCGGGATTACAATAGGATTAGCTATATACAAACACATTTTTAGAATGTATTTTTACTACGAAATTTTCAGTATATAATTTAATTTGTACCATCTGTGTAATAGTGGATTTTGAATTTGGCTTTTCACTGACTTAAAATGATTTTAAACCTTACTCTAAGTATAGGTTTAAAGTAATTCGAAAGGGTGCTTATGATTTATGAAACTTGTTATTGTTTTCTGTTCTTAAAATTTATTGCGGGTGTTTATGAATCTATCATGTTTGTTTATAAAACAAAACGGGTCAAGGCAATTGCCATATTACGTAAATCTCGATAGAGATTGAACGTAGGGATTGCGAAAAATAAAACAATTTTAATGAAATTAAATATTTTGTTATTATTATAAAACAACACGTACGGACAAATTGTATTTTCTAGTCATTGCGATACACAACCACCCCCCCCACTCATATATGCAACTTTTAATATTATCACAACATAAATGCAGTTTCGTCGTTTTAATTTAAATTAATACATTGATTCCAAATAGCAATTAATAATGAAGATAAAAATTAAGTATAATTTAAAACTTTATAAATCTTATCCATAGATATATAACCTATAGATGGAGCATTTCAATTTTTCAAGAGCTAATTTAAGTGTCATTTTGCAAATAACACTGAAGGTTTTCGCTCATTTTTGAGCAAAGTTTGATATCTATAGGTTATAAATATATGGCTGTCCCTCTATAACTTTTATTTCGGTGGTCATAACCTACACATTAAATAAGACATCAATAAAAATGTTGGTAACCCTGACACATAGACAACAATCTCATTGTAACCATAAATACTTCTCTAACACCTTGTCTCTGTTTTTCTCAATAAGACAGAGAGACGACAAGATAAATTTACAAGTGTTACAAAAGTAGAAAATGCATCTCATGGAAGATCTGAAATAAATTAACAATAGAAACTGATTATACAAACTCTTGACAAAAGACAAATCACAATTTTAAATACTGCTCAGTAAGGTTACCGGCAAATATCTTGAAAAAAAGCAATATTATTTTAAGTCATTTTTTATTTAAAAAGAGTTAAATATCTCGCAAATTCGATATTCTTTGTCAAGTTATTTACCGGTTATAATAAGCCAAAATAATTTATAATGAAATATTTTCTGGATATGTCTATTTCCACAAAACGTATACAATAACAACCGCGATGGTTTTCAAGTTAAATTCTTTTTAAGTAATTTTTCACTTGTCGTTCGCAATTACAATTAGTTGAATCTAAATTGTTCTAAAAATACAAGAAGCAGCTGAATCCTTGATTATGAAGATTTTTCAAACACATTAATAAATATTATACAAATATACCTTTCTAATTGTATCCATTCTCAAATTGTCGACATTCACAAAAAGAACAAAATCACCATATATGGCAAGATATAAAGAAAATTACTAAATACAAATACAAACACATATGAAATGACTCCAGCGTTGCGATCGTCACTAAATGACTGGAAAATACACATTTCCATCACGATACACTAATTCAGTTTAACAGAACAAATTAGAAGCTCTAAAATAAACAACAGTCTTAGTACATACAAGTTATTTACACAAAGATTTATTTTATATAAAAAAATATCCTACTATACATGTAACAATCGCCCATGTAGAAATATATAATTTGTCGCTATGTACAACTAGGAATAGTATTAAAAATAGTAATTTGTATAGGAATCATCTAGTCACAAAAGGCAGTGCTAGGCAAGAAATACACTACGCGGACGCGTCGCCCGGACAAGGCACTTTCTTATATTGATACATTTTTTACTTTTAAATAAATATGCTTCATAAAATAACGTGTTTTATTTCAATATAAATTAAAATATATAAATATCAAAAGGTTAACAAAAATGGTACACGAGCGAAGTTTTATGAATCATGATTCTCTAAGAGCCCGAAGTGCGAATGGAGGCTAAGGCAATTTAATAGCTTAGGGCTTGTCCCACCAAATTGTAAATTGTCTGGTAACAATCGGAAAGCGATAACATGTGATAGAAATATCGGATTTTGTTACCTTATCTGACACTGACGTCATTTTAAGTTATCTGAGCCTCTATCAGCCAGTGGTGAGACGAGCCCATCCTGTTTTGTATTATCATCTAGTGAGGTATTAAGATGAATGTTGAGTGTATTTCTTGCCCCTGAGACAGCAATGAAACCTGAAATCCAGTCTCCGGCAAGGCAGCGGGCTCGATTTAAACAAAATACGTGGACAAGATTTGCTCCACAATATATAAAAATACTTGATTTATATCACCGATCACTGTTACACTATCACTCCAAATCACAATGAACACTAATAGTTACACTTGTAGTGTACAAATGCTGCATGTTCGTTGCAGGATGGCCTCTGTTTTCAGTATTACTAAATTAATGCAACACAAAATCACATCAAAACCATCCGACAACGAACGCAGACAAACCCTGATTGCGTGGGGCAAGCGAACTCTATATTTCTCACAGGAAGCGGTTAACATAAGTACGATTTAGTTCGCCGAGTGCCGTTAGGTAAGCGTTGCGACAAAACTGGATACAATTTACTACGACGTTCACAGCGAACAGTATCAGCAGAGAAGAGACGTTTGCGGCGCCCGCACTAGGTACAGTACAGACTAGATAAGTTAACTTAACGTGTAAATCGCGTCGTGCAGCCAACGGGCGCGTCCTCGCTCGCCACTAACTTAGTACATTAGTGCGTCGGCCCCGTCACTGACGCATTGGTCCCGCTTTATTGGTACGAAAGCACAATATATTACTCTATAATTATAATACAAATAGTTCTAATGACAGATCACAGCCTGGGTTCAAATTAAATAAGAGGAGGCAGCGTCACGTGATGGCCGCCACGTCCGAGTGCGTCTTCTGCAGCCCGTCCTCGTCCGTCGACCTGCGCACGTACGACAAATACATTGAAAATGTGTACAACAGTTTGAGTTTTTTTTTTAGATGGTAAGGTGGCAAACAAGTAATATTCAATCAACGGAGAAGACGTACAAAAAGATGTTTACCCTCCCTATGCATCTCCATCATCAAATCCACTTTCCCTTAAGAAAGGGCTAAAAGGTCTCTGGCATGAATAATCATCAAGCGAAAGGCGGAATTGCTTCCACTTGACGCCTGTCTTCTGTGTAGTCGGTATCGCGAGCTAGCATATTCGTGCGAAGATGTTTACCCTTAAATGCATGATGATGTATTTATACATCAGTCTTTACTTCAATACCCAATACACTATTTAAAAAAAAATACTTTTCCCTTGATCTATGTTCAATTTACTATCCGTTTCAATTTAGGGTATTTAAAAAGAAATAAAGGGTTAAAGCGGGCTGTACTGTTTGAGAGTTGGTGTGAGTGTGA